ATGACCTGGTCAATTTCTTCTTTTGTTAGGGGTTTGTTCAAATTCTCTACTTCAGTCTGAGTAAGTTTAGGTAGGTCGTGTTTTTCTAGAAATGTATCCATCTCATCCAAATTTTCGAATTTGTTGGGAGTACAGCTCTTCGTAGGATTCTGTTACTATCTTTTTTATTTCATTTGATTCTGTTGTGACTTCACCTGTTTGGTTTCTAATATGATTTGTGTCCTCTCCCTTTTTTCTTTAGTTTTGCCAATGGTTTGTCAATTTTATTAATCCTTTCAAAGAACCAGCTTCTTGTCCTATTAAATCTTTGTATAGTTTTTCTGTTTTCCATCTCATTTATTTCTGCTCTTATCGTTATTATTTCCCTTTTTTTGGTGACTGTAGGTTCCCTCTGCTGGTCTGCTTCTAATCGTTGAAGATGCTGTGTTAATGTGTTGATTCTGGCTCTTTCCTCTTTTTGGATGTGTGCATTTATCGCAATAAATTGTCCCATCAGGACTGCTTTTGCCGTGTTCCAAAGATTTTGGTATGTTGTGTTTTCATTCTCATTTGTTTCTAGGAACTTTGTGAATTCACCTTTCTTTTTTTACCCAGTCGTTTTTCAGCAGGATGTTGTAAAGTTTCCATATATTAGACTTTATTGTTTTGGTCTTATTGTTGATTTCTAGTTGTTTTTTTTCTAGTTATACCAAAAAAAGTTAGCAGGGATGCATCTATTTTAACCCTTTTATTAATGAATTCTTTTTTGCTCGAAATTGTTTGTTGATAACCATGTGTTTTCAGTAATTGGAGGCATACTGAAATCAAGGGAAAATAAACTTTGAAATAATCATGGATTTTTGTACAGTTATGTGGTATACATAGGATTGGGGAGGAGACCCATTTCTTCAGATTCCAACTAGATCCCCACAAGGCGATTGTTAAGTACCATTGAGTTGGTTCCAACTCATAGCAACCCTACATAGGATTAACTAGGATAGCTTCCCAAGAAATCTAATAGACTGAAAATAATGGTGGTATCCTATAGGTCCCCAAAGAATTAAACATAACACTGTTAGGACATCAGATTTCAACTTTATTACCCAAACAGCTGAGAAGTTACAGTGATGGACTTATTTCAGCATTTGTAGCCATTAAAAAGAGGCCATTACCACAGTAAAATACTCAAGTGGCATGGCTCAGTTAAATAGAAATAGAAAACAGCTGGCTACTGTTAGGACCTAAACACTATTTTTCTTTTTAAAATTGTTTAAAGTCTGCTTCCATTTTTAAAAGGTAAATATTTTCACATAAAGGAAAAAATAAGCAAATGTATTTACTGATTGTAGAACTTCATTACAATATAGTTATGACTAGGTAAAAGAGCAGGAAGAATTATTAATTTCAGAAAAAACTTATTAAAGCAAGATTTAGGACCACCCCCAGGTTCCTCCTCAGAGTGAATTCGGGGATCAAAAATTTGGGTTACAAGAACTAAAGTAAAACTGCCTGGCTTTACCACTTACTAGCTTAAGAATTCAGGAAAAGCATTTAGCTTTTCTACTCATGTTTCCTTATCCGTAGAATGAGGATTGTGAGGTGTAAAGTGTTTTGAACACTATTTGGCATTTTTAAAATGTTTGCTATATAAAAATGCTGAACAAGTAAAAGGTTAGGGTCCGGGTTTTGTCATCTTTCACTTTAGAATGAACAATGGTTGTATGATATACCAAATTCTTGTTCTAGAAGCTTTTTTCATTTTAGAGCTGTCCTTTGTTTCCTTCCCCTTTCTTACCCAAGTGGTTAACTCAGAACATCCTCGAGCTGCAACCCTGTAACGGCTGCTCCCTCCCCGAGCACGCAGTTGCACTCAGTTCAGCTTCCTTAATCTTTTCATGACCAAGTTATTTTCTGCTTTTAATTTTTTTTTTTTAACCTTGTGTTTTCATTCAGTAATGAAAGGCATGCTGAAATCTAGAGAAAACTTTTTTTTGATATGATTATGTGGGAGGCAAATGTTCCAAGTTGACTGTGATGGTAGGATTGGTGGAGAGAGACCTGTTTTTGCAGATTCAAGCAGCTATACAGATACCCCGGATTCCTGCTGTATCTCTGTAGGATCAGCACCAAACTGCAAACCACAAGGTTGTCGGTTCAATCCCACAAGTTTCTCGAAACAGCATACAAGGTTGCTGAGTCGAATCAGCTCGACACTTAACATCATACAGATTCCCACCAGGTGGCACCAATTGGGATAGGAGTTCCCAACAAACCTGACAGGCTGAAGTTTTGTGTGGGTGGCATGTGGCCAAGGGGGTCACAAATGAGTTAACTCCTCACATTTACTGCTTCCCATAACATCTAGACATTTCATCCACTTTTTTTTTCAACTGTTATGGTAACACTTGATCTTTGCAAGAGCAATGAGTTTTCTTTCTTTGTGGTCAGTTCCCAGAAATGAATGCCATGATCATGAGAAGGTTCAGTTTGCCAGGAGATGTGGACAGAGCTCGACAATATGTGTTAAAGGTAAGATTATTATATTTAAAAAAAAAAGGCGGGGGGCAGGCAGCAAGTAGGTTGCAACATCCTTTAACCAAATAATTTAATATTAAATAACAAGTGACAAAAAAACAAATTTGGTCAACTCCTGATTTGAGAAAAACTGAGAAGAAAAGAATGCATAACGTCATTTTTCTTGTAGACTACATCCCAAAGATTCTAATTTAATTGCCCTTGTGTAGACTTGGGGATTATTTTTTATTTTTAAATACTAATTACAAGTGATTCTAATGAATAACCAGGGTTGAGAGCCATTGCTTTAGGACTCCTCCTTCCTCTGTCAGTAGCATCCTGGTTCTCCCAGTCTTCCAAACTTACCACTAACTAGCCTGGTCCAAGCCCTCATCACAACTAGACTAGCAGTCTTTCCTAGTATACCCTACAGAACTGCTATAACACCAAAAACCCAATCAGCTGCCAAGGTCAATGTGTGCAAGCAGACTGTACTCCACAGGGTTGTCAGGGCAGAAGCAGATCACCAGATTCTGAGGCACAGTTGGGTGAATTCAAATCACCAACCTTTCAGTTAGTAGTGGTATGCTTAACCATTTGCACCACCCAGAGACACCAAACTGCTGTGAACATGTGATTAAACAAATAATAATTTTAAAAAAAAGAACAAAAACCAACATAAGCAAACTAGGCATTCACAAGAGTTTTTATTTTAAAGAACTGTTTAACTTTCAAGGTTTATAAACTTGCTTCAAATACATTGCGAGTGTTTAAAATATCCTTAGAGGTATCCTGTAGAAGGCCAAATATTTGTGCATATTTAGTTTTGGAAGTTTTGCTCTTTTGAGAATAAGCTATTTCCACAAAACAAGTCAGTTGGAGACAATAGATTTAGTGAATGAGACAGAATGAACAAAAGCTTTTTATTAAGCAAATATGATTTAAGATACTGGCTTTCCTATTCAACCTCCTAACTCCAACTCATAACGACCCTGTACAGGGTTTCCGAGGCTATAAACCTTTACAGGAACAGAAAGTAATCTTTCTCCCATGGAACAGCTGGTAGTTTCATACTGCTGACCTTGCGGTTCGCAGCCAGATTCGTAACCACTATGCTACCAGAGCTCCTTAAACATCATAATTAGTTGTAAGTTATCCTACATCTTTGAAGAGTGGTTTGCAGTAATTAAAAAACTCAGTAGGAGAGGGGGCTGCAGACAATACAGAAATCAGAGCTGGAGACTACAGAGAGGCTTTAACATAGGCAATAGTAGTACTCAAGGCTGGGGTGAGAACTGGATTTGAAGAGGGGGATAAACTGTAGCTCCTACATAAAACAGGGATGTTCCCTCATGCTTAGGCAGAATTGTACTCAGGGAAAAAAATACACAGGGGTGTTCTCTAAACAAGTTCTCCAAAGGCCTCAAATCTAACCCCTTGTTCACACAGAATTCCTAATGTTCTCAGTAAATACGAACGGACAACCTCAGATTACTAAACAGCATGAAAGGGTTTCAAATTATACCAGAGGCTTCAAAAGTCATGAAAAACTGGAGATAAAAAATAATGAACTTTTTGAAATCCCCTTCTAAGTGGATTTAAAGATACTAATTTAAAATGTTTGTAAAAATGCTCTAAGAACTTCAAATGATTGTGAAACAGTAACTCCGTAGGATTCCAAAATGTTACACAGACAAGCAAGAGCAAGAGAATGAAAAAAAAAAACAGAAAAACTAAGTTAAAAAAGGATGTCCAAAAACAGTGGCATAGGGGGACTTTGGACCTGGAGAGGGAGGGGGCTGTGTGCTGATGGCCAGGGGGCAGGCTTGCAGAGTATACCCTTTGGTTAGCTGATGATGCATGGAGGGGATTGTAACCTTGGCAGTGAAACAATATACGATAGGATGATGATAGGATGAATGTTCTTCCATGTAAACTATCACATAATTCACAATAAAACATTAAAAAAAAAAGTGGCATAGTGTTAAACTACCAAAACACTGAGTATTAGAAGGCAGTGGAGGAAGGCCCTCCAAGTGATCTTAAACTTAGATTTCTATACCTAGTCCAACCATCCATGAATTCCGAATGCAAAAGAAAGTCATTGTCATGCATGCTACCCTCAAAGAGGAAGCAGGTGCACTGTCAAAATGGGGAAAAAATTTGACACAGATTTCCTGGCCTTTCTCACCAATGCAGTTTTCCATTTTCTTATAACTTCTTTGTAATAAGCCTCCACGATTGTCCCGTTATTGAGAAAATCATATGAAAAACCACTGCCATAACCTGAGTTGACCTCTTTGCCTTCACTTGAACTGGCCCAGCAGATCCCTCTTGGAAGCCATTGTTTTGGTTGGACCTTGCTCAGTAGATCGTATTGATAAATCCAAGACAAGTCCCTAGCTTTGCTTCTTTACTAGCTTTGCTCTGGCTTAAAACTGGGAAGATCAGTTCAGAGCTAGCTGGTCTTCAAATAACGCTTTTGTTTTCAGTATCCTCTTATTTGAAGGTACCCCAACAAGACTAAGTATATTACTGAGAGAACTTTTATACAGACATCTACTGATTTCACAGATTGTTTGCAATAAGTGTATGCATATAGGAACTGAAATCCTAATAGTAGCAATAGTTACTTTAGCATAGTCTCATTTTTGAAAAACCAAAACTTTCATTTTAGGTTTGTCATTTAAAAATGGTATGTATGTATACAGATCTAATAAACTGGTAACTTAAAAACTAAGCTGTGTTTCATTATCTGAGAAAAAAAGCATTAACAATAAAAAACTGAGGAGGCTAGAATTATGAATTAGAGACCAGACACATTGGTATTAGGTGTTGTCACAGTAGGTTCTTACTCATGGTGACCCCTTATACACAACAGAATGAAACACTGCCTGGTCCTGCTCCATGCTCAGTCATTGCTGTGTATGAGCCCACTGGTGTAGTCACTCTGTCGGTCTTTATTTTTTTCCCCCCCTGACCTACTTTACAGCGGCACTCAACAACTTTACCAAGCATAATGTCCATCTTCAGGGACTCCTCATAACATGTCTTAAGTGCATAAGAAATACAGTAACATAGTTGGGCTATTACTGTTACAGCTTACCACCCTCATCTCATCTGAACTCACAAGTGTATTTTAGTATATATTATAGCAGGGATAGATAAGCTGGTCCCGTCAATGACATGCATCTGTTCTGTACCCCATAGAGTGATGGTGTGCAACAAACAACCTACCTCGCCCAGCGGTACTGCCATGAAGCAATAAGAGAGATCAGTAAACTGCGACCATCTCCAGAAAGAGACGCCCTCATTCAACTTTCGGAAACTGTACTCACAAGAGATAAATGACAACTCTTTCTGTTCTTTCTGGCAGCTATTTTACCAGACTGTGCCTAAAGAATTTTTGTCAAATACATTTCATTTGCTTCATGTGCAGATAACCAAAAACTCATTTCAACCTTAACTGATGGGCAATTTTTTTTTTTTTAATTAGCAAAGATTTTCAGAAAACTTTTTAAAGAAAATTATATTGAAGAAAGTTGTAACTAGGTAATTAAGCCATCTCAATCTGCCATTCTAGTCCTGTAAATTCTAATTGAGGTATCTTGATGGTTATGTGTGGTATTGTTTACACTGTTAATATCCACACGTAAAGCCATTACACAAATAAATAATGTTAAAATTCAAATGGTTTGTCTTGATTCACCTTTACTGACAAGGCAAAGGGAGCACAGCAGTGAAGGTCAGGGAACTGTGAAGTCTCTACTTAGGTCCGCATTAGTCAAACTTGAACAGTATCCAAAATTTATAGAGAATGGTTTATTATAAAAGACTGTACATAAAATTTGGACAACAGGTTATATACAAATGAAGAGAACAGTCCACTCAAAAAATGAAAAGCAGAAAAGTAGCTAGTTGATCACTAATGACACTGAAATCATGTTTAAAATTAACAGGTAAAATGCATATGAAACAGTCACATGGATTTGTTAGCAATAATGGTCTTTAATTTTGAGAAATAAATGTTTTCCACTATTCATTCTTACCATTCACTATGCTGTATCGCCCAGTATACATAACTGTAATTTGAAAATCAAACAATCCTCAATACACAGAAACCCACACTTGAATACTCTATCCTAATTCCCTAAACAATATAGAATTATACACAAGATGAGAAAATATCCCTCTAGCCCTCCCGTAAATTAAGAGGAGACACACAAAGTGCATGTGTTGCATTTCAGTTATGTCCAAAGACAATACACATCTGTTGGTTAGGTTATACCCCCTGTTCACTGATGAATGATTCACCTCCTTTCCCAACTGTTTTATTGTAAAATCTTGCTATGTTGCTTCTGCCAAATAATGGATTAAATAGTGCCTATTCAAAAATGAATTGCATCCACTTTTATTTGCATCCACTTTTACAACAGTAGTATGTAAAAGATACTTATAATTTCCTTTCACTGAACCAATATACAATAGTGCTGTAAAACTGAAGGACTGACTTGGCAATCCATAAGAATTTTACCTATAGAATGAGTGTGCACATTATGACACATGTTCTTAGCTTGAAAAAATTAATTCAGTAGATTGACTTGTAAATAACCATTTCAGATTTTAAATCTGCAGTAATCAGTCACACTGCTGTTGGGACACATTGACGTAAGGCTAAATTTTTTCCAAAGTCAATATATTGAGAAAATAGAACCATAATTCTCCAATAATCAGCATCTTTTATTTTTTTTTAAAGCAAACCAATGAAGGAAAGGACAAAGACCTTTGGTTCACTTACGTATTTATGAATGAAAAAAATTCGTAATGCAAATTCACTTATTAAAAAACTTAGGTACAAATTACAACATTACAGACCACCTTTTTGTTTGTTTTGTTTCACATGGAGACCTGAGAGACTCAATTCAAGAGGCTTAAAGTATGAGTACTCCAGGTAAATATGACACAATTTGGAAGCATCCTGGATCTTTAAAAAGTATATTTCAATACATAAATTTGTATGCATGCTTTAAACAAATAGTATAGTTCAAAAGTGAGAATCTAAACAAAAAATCTGACCAGCACCAGTACTTAAATTTTCTGATTTTAATATTAGTCTGACAGTGTTAGTAACCATGCTGCACTAAAAGATGTAATGGTACAATCTGAATCATGATTTAAATATACCCCACTTTTCCCAGAATATTTAAGCTGGTCATAAATTTAACAATGTGTAAGTAAATACATAAGCATAATCAGTTATGGACAGCTTCCTGTATAAATTACATAAACTGCCTCAAAGAGTTATACTTATGGGTAGACATTCAATTATTATCAATAAAACAGCATGTCCTGAAAATATGGGCACATTGTAAAACATATTAAGACAATTCTGTTAACCATAATAGTCCCACAGTATGACTGAGTAATAAGGAGAATCTACTTTAAAAGCAAAAAATTTAATCAGTATAGTGCATGATTGATTCAACATAGTTCCCAGGAAACAGACCAGTCACTCGATTGCAGACTCCTTCATACCAGCCATCATCATTCTTCTTTATGACATAAATGATTGCACCCTCCATAAACGAAAGCTCATCATCCTTGTCTTTTGTATAATCATATATTGCAACAACTATGGTGAAAAGAGTGGAAATTTACATTATATATACAAGAGTGCATTATATCAAAAATTTACTTGTGTTTTTATGATTTAACATAAATTCATACTATAAGTATCACAAAATCAACCATTTTTATTAAGCTGTGTCAACTCTCTTACCTGTGAGTATAGGTTGGTCAGTGGCCACCATGTGCCTAAATCAATTAACTTGGTTAGAAAAGATCTCTGAATTTAAGAATTAGCTATTTCAATTCATTTAAGTATCTATACTAAATGCCTACCATATGCAATACAGCACTCTGCAAAATAATATTTGTGCAAAGCTGCCTAGACAGTCAATCAACTAGGTAACAACCCAAGCTATCTAATTTGAAAATGCACATAGAAGAATGCGTCAAAAATTACCCGCACTCCAGTTATATTAAAACTAATGTTGAATGTAATGTTGAATGCAAGGAGCTCTGGTAGCGTAGTGGTTACGAATCGGGCTGTGAACCTTAAGGTCAGCAGTTCGAAACTACCAGCTGCTCCGCGGGAGAAAGATGAGGCTTTCTGCTCCTGTAAAGATTTACAGCCTCAGAAACCCTGTACAGGGTCGCTATGAGTCGGACGGAACCGACTCGAAGGCACTTAACAACAACAACAATGTTGAATGCAGTGCTTTCCATTCAAGGTTATTGCTGTGCAAGAGGGAACGTGAATATCTGAAACAAAATTTGGACTGATACTCAAAGGAAGGTAAAAGTTTTCTTTTATATAAAATAAAAAAATGAGACATGCATTCATCACTAAGAGCCTCAGAGTAAACAGCAGAGTATGGAATGGAAACATCCTCAATCGCCAATCAAGAAAAAAATGTGAAGTCAACAACCTGGTAGAAAATGGATGCTTACAGTATTCTGGGATTCTCAAGAGCCAGTATTGGAACACTATCAGGAAAAAGGTTCAACAATCAACAGTGTTCCTTACAGTGAGATGACTTTCTGAGGAGCTAAAGCCTAAATATGGGATTCAACAAGAGGATTCCTAACCAAAGGCTTTGCGATCTTGCATGACAATGCATATCCACACAACTCTGCCCACACTGTTGACAATCTGCAAAAACTTTTGTTTTGAGATGTTAAATCATCCTCCCTACAGTCCTGATCTTGCTCCAACGGTCTTTCACCTGTTTGGTCCTCTGAAATTCAGCATCTCTTTGAGGACAAAGATTCACTTCTGATAAAGAAGTGAAGACAGCAGTGCATTCATGGCTTGAAGCTCAGTCTAAAATAAATTTTAATAAGGGAATACTAAAGCATGTTGACAGATGGACAAAATGTATTGAAAAATCAAGGAGAGTCTGTTGAAAAATGATGTATTTGCCTTTTCTAAAAGTTGAATAAATATTCTACAGCTAGAGTGTGGATAATTTTGACTTACTCTCGTATAGATCATTTTGACCCAAATCATAGCCAAGTAAAATATTCATGTAACCAGTGTTTTTTTTTAAAGAACAATCAATTGCACGTGAGTAAAGTCCCACTGAAGTCCTGGTGTGGGACTCTGGGCTAATGAATCAGACTGCAAAGTCATTTGAACCACAAAGTCGGTGGTTCAAGCTCATCAGCAGCTCTTTGGAAACCCAATACAGGGTTGCTATGGACCGGAATAGACTCAACAGCACTTAACAACAACAAAAAAGTCCTGTTAATTAAGCTTTAGAGAACTGTTTACAAGTCTGTGTTATCTGATTCTTTGCAAACAGTGTTGTGTAAGTGGACGATGAATCGAAAATCATAATGAAAATGGTTTCAGAATCTAAGAATTAATTTACTCTGCCTTGATAGCATAATAATGAAATGGTGTCTAACTGTCTACTATACATGAAATCAGTCAAAACATGGCCAGGGGCAGGCTGTGGAACAGACCAGCAATTACTCATGCAAATTCAAACGGAAGATGAAGAACATGAAATGTTCACAAAAGCCAAAATATGACCTTGAACATATCCCAAGAACAGATTTGGTACATTAGACAGTAATGACTGAAGAGCAGAAGAGTTGTGGGATGACATCAAGAACATCAGACAGGAAGAAAGCAAAAAGTCATTAAAAAGACAAGAAAGAAGGAAAAGGTCAAAATGGATGTCAGAAGAGACTCTCAAACCTGCTCTCCAACATAGGGATGCTAAAGCAAATGAAAGAAATGAGGAGGTACAAGAGCTGAACATAAAATATCCAAGATCAGCTCGAGAAGATAAAGTCAAATATTACAACAAAATGTGCAAAGATTGAGTCAGAAGACCAAAAAAGAAGAACACGCTCAGCATTTCTCAAGCTGGGGGAACTGAAGAAAAAAACTCAAGCCTCGATTTTCATTACTGAAGGATTCTCTGGGGAAATTATTGAATGATGCAGAAAGCATCAAGAGAAGATGGAAGGAATACACAGAGTCACTGTACCAAAAGGAAACGGTTGATGTTCAACCGTTTCAAGAGGTAGCATATGATCAAGAGCTAATGACACTGAAAGAGGAAGTCCAAGGTGAATTGAAGGAATTGGCAAAGAACAAGGCACCAGGAATTGATGGAATAAAAACTGAAATCTTTCAAGAAAGTGAGGCAGCACAGGAGGCACTCACTCATCACTGCCAAGAAATTTGTAATTTGTAAGACAACTATCTGCCCAACAGATTGGAGAGATACATATTTGCACCCATTCGAAAAAGAGGTGACCCAAGAGAATACAGAAATCATTGAGCAGTATCTTTGATATCCCATGCAAGTGAAGTTTTACTAAAGGTAATACATAGACGTC